ACCTCCTCATTCATATTTTCCTCTAGGGGTTCCATGACCTGCACCATTAATGTTAAAAATTTTTAGCAAAGTTAAGGTGTTTCAAGGGCAATATATGAAGAGATGCAAATAGGCATGTAGTTGTGCCTTAATTGTCTTTAATATCATATGCCTCATATCACTAGGAGATTTTTAAGTTCCTTGAACTCTCTGAGAAAAAAAAGCTTTATAAATGTATAATAATACATAATGGTTGCAAGGCCCTGGACAAATCACCTAACCTCTTTTGAATTTATTTTCATCATTTGTAAGCAGATGCATCTCACATCGATGCTGTAAGGTATACATAAAATAATTTAAAAGTACTGACAGAACACTACACAACTGTTCAACGATAACCTAAAGTTTAAAGGGTTGATATCCTATTAGAAATACCAAGCACCATCAAGTCCCCTGGAGAATTCTCAAAATAAAGCATAAGACTTGGAAGCTGTAAAGAGGCCAACATTTATAAAGTAAATATTTCAATGAAAACCAACCCTACGTATGTCCTGGTGGGGAACTGAACGATCTCAAGCCATACGTGAACGAGACTCTTACAAAAGAAATGAGGCTTAGAGTTCTCTTAACAACAGACTGCCTGACCTCCCCGCATAAGACTACGTCCATGAAATACCTAACGCCTACCGCACAGGCAGAAAACGGCGAATACAGAATTCTCTGGCACTTGGAAGTCCTCTGCTTTATATCAACTACCTATAACCCTTTAGCATCAATCAACAGCTTCAGGGGGGAAAGTCAACTTCAAACTGACTGGATTCATATACTTTAATATGGGTAAATTGAGGGGCTGCACTGTGGAGTCTTCATTCCACTGTAATCACCACCTTGCCTTTGTTGCGAATCAACTTTTATGAATTCGCAATCATTTCCTATTCAAAACCTATTTTAACACACTTGCCAGCGAAATGTAAACCCGTCTTCATTCACATCTGCCAGAGACCCTAGTTCATAAACTGACTTTTAAGTTTGTAAGGTCTTAGCTCAAAAGAAGGCATTAAAACAGACTCCAAAGAGAACGTCCCACGTGTTGTTTTCTCGACATCGAGAAACCAGACAGACTTAAGACAACTTAGGGAGACAATGCGAACAATAAGGATGCATCAGCATCCACTGGTCACTGGCTACGTGTCCAGAACTGTTCCAAGCACTTTATACATCTCGTTTAATCCACACAACAAAAATCTTATGCGCGAGATGGAGAATATTATTTTTCCCACAGAAAGCTTTTAGAAAATGCATCCCTCATTAGAAAGAAATGTATCAACTTCAACAATCCAAATTTATACATTTAAAATATAGTTTCTCTTTATCATGCTGAAAAAGCTAGATCGATTTTCACCAAATGTGGAGGGTCTACTCGGGGCAGTCCAGCCTAAACTCTAGGCCACACGCTGTGAATGAAGTAGGCCTGAGGTACGACCACCTCAGAGGAAGAGGAAGCCATCCACCAGAGCGGCTGCAGACCTCTGGTTTGCAGTGCAAGGCCTTTGCTCTTGTTCGGCTCTTTGTACCAAGTGCCAGCGGGGATTTATTTAATAATGGGTAGTGATTTTTCTGAGAAACTCTACAAAAGCCAACTAGCATAATATAACTTAAAAAACTCTGGAGGTGGCAAGCAGGGTATGTGCACATCATTCATTAGGAGCAACAATACACACTGCCTAGAGATGAAAAAATAAAACAAGTTTCAGGGCCACTCTCCAGATCTACCCAGTGAACCCAGGTGTGACACCCAAGAGAGCCGAGTCAACAGCACCCTTTTCGCTGGCTTGGGCAAGCAACTTAATCAAAACCCTACAGGAAAATAGCTCATAGAGGTATGAATGTCCTTTTAACTTGCTGAGTTCCTTCTAGTAAATTAAGCTGTTCTTACCCCAGATGGGAAAGGACAAAATTCTTTAAGGACAGAACTAATGTTATTGATCTTTGCAGCCCCAGAGACCTAGTCTGGACAAGGCACATAAATTAGACCTTATACATAATTATTGAATGTTGATTTAAGAGTAGACACTAAATCTAATAACTGTTAGAACTATACTGCCAGATTCTAATGAAAGTGTTTAGTTCTAATCAACAATGAAAATCTTTGGCTGTACTTTTTAAGGGCAGATTGATTATTAGACTCTTTCTTCTTCAGCTTTACGTCATTCCAGAATTCTGTGCTTTAAATAAAACTCTTAGGCTGTTGAGACAGAAAACATTTCCCAGTGAGTCAATTCATATTTTGCTTGTTTCCAAATATTTTGTATCATAATCAAGCACGGCTGTAAAAAATGGATAGAAACTGTGTTTCATTTCATTGTTGATTAATTCTTACAGGTTTTATACCATAATGGATATCTCTTAGGGACATAAAGAGAAACATATATTGAATTGATTACATCTGTCCTTTTCCAAAAGATCTGAGTCTGATCAATACGAAGAACATATACTTTCTTATTTTTTCTGAACTTACTGTGGTAATCATTTCATAATACATTTAAGTCAAATCATTATCCTGTACACCTTAAACTTATAGCACTCTATGTTGATTATATCTCAATAAAACTGGAAAAATTAAAGATAAGGCATTAGCAAAGATTTTTATAAACTTAAGTGCTGTCAGACTTAAAGTAAGCTACCAAGTCAGAGGATGTGGTGTATAACGAAAAGAGTCAAGAAACTTCAGTTCCAATGCTTGATTTTGCATAAATCACATAATAATCTCTTAAGGTCCTTTGCAGTTCTAAAAATGGATTTGCAAGAAATGAATGGGTTCAAAAACAAAAACTACGGTTTATATGGATTATTTGAATAAATTTGAAAAAACTTTTAAAAATTATGACAAAAAGAAGGAGCAAATAATCTAATTTAAGGATTAATGTAGTTTCTCTAATCATAGGATCATATTTAGCTCTGAGCTTCCTAGTAACGAGAGCAAAAAAGACATCCTGATTATATACCCTGCGCTAAAAAAGAAATGGAACACTTATTTCTCAAAAGAGAAAATTTTTCTTTAGAGGGCACCTTCGACCTTTTTCAATCAGTGGAGTTCTGCTTTTATTTGTTTTAAATATGGGGTATTTATAATTTAGTTGAAGAAAATGTTCTAGGGCTTAATAAAAAAAAGAAAAGTTTAAAAGAAAACTGGTCAGGTCCAACTCTTTCACTTTCACAAACAAAAAGACAAAAAGCCAAGAAAAATAATAACTCACCTACACTTACATGGCTACAAAGCAACTTCATGATCTTACCTAATCCTAACTTTTACTAATTTCTTTTTAATACTAAGAATAGCCCTGTGTCAGCCAAAATAAATAAATAAATAAATAAATAAATAAATAAATAAATAAATGAGTGAATGAATGAATGAATGAATGAATGAATGAAAAATAAGAGCAGTAAACTAATTAAGGAAACCTCATAGTTCGATTTGGTATTCCATGTTCCCCCTTAAATGAAGCTTTATACGTGTAGCTTTACACAATGATCCGACAGGAGTTCCTGGCCTTCTGATCTACCCAAGGACACAAGGGAATTATTAGGTCACAGATGTTCGCTCTGCAGCAGACTGACCTACTCAGCTGTAAAGTCAGCCAGCCTGCAGAAACCAAATCACTCCAGCACATGGTCTAAACAGTGGTTTGCAAAGGAAGGGGAAGCAGCTCTGGACATGTGCTCACTGCAAGAGACCTTTACTTCTCAATGAGTAAATTCTAGGGAAACAACTATAGAAGCTAGCTACAAGTATTAATGTAAAGAAATCTGTCCTGAGCAAGAAGATGCTCTATGTTTATCCATGTATGTAAACTCTAAGTTTACTAACTCCCTGGAAAATTCCACTCAGGCTTCCATTTTATCCTCTTCCTTTCAAAGCTGGATATGGCTTTCGGCACCCTTGCTGACCACAAACATGGAGTAGATGCAGTTAACACAAAACTTGCAGGGAAGAATGTCTATGTGATGCATGTGTATAATTTCAGATTCCGTGATGAAATTACTATTTGCCAAAAAAGCAAATTCCTATTTCTTTTATAAGTTAGAATTACAAAAATCCTTTAATTTGCTGCTTCTTATTTTAAAGAGAGAAAATCTGTTTTCGACCCTTTTTTTTTAGTTTGGGATATGATATTTCCAAAGGAATCTACCATAACTGAGTTAATGACGGTAAAACTGGTCAATAACGTAAGAATATCTTTCTTCTAAAAGCAGTTTCCTTTTCCATATAATAGCAGCTAACATGTTTTATTAAATAATTTTTTGGATTGTAAAGGAAATCAGTAAATCAACAATTATTAGAAATAACTTATAATAAACCAATAAGCTAAGGTATACCTGTAAAATCTAAAAATTAAGCTGATACCAAGTTATTTACATGGCTGCACAATACTTCTACCATGAAGTTCATTATTTCTTAAATTGCTCTCTAAAAAATTAATCCCCGACATGCGTACACACGGCTTTACGAAGTAACATTTCTCTGTGAAGAGCAAAATAATGTTCAAATGGTAAACGCACCACACCAACGAATAAGAAAACTTTAAAATGGTAATTTTCCAAAGGCCAGTTTTCAAATGGTAAATACTTTGACCACACCAACAAACAAGGAAAAACTGAGAGACAAGATCAATCCTAGGGGCTCGCCTGGGGAAAAGAACACCCTAAATGAACTGAGTGCCACGTCAAAATCCCTCTGCCAGATACTGCTGCCCCGAGTTAGAATCGTTTTAGAAATTTGATAACCTGCTACTGTATATAGGATATATAAATGT